ATTATAGTAATATCGGGGTCTTCTGAAAATATTGCACCTTTTTCTAGTGGTTTTTTCGTCCCAGGAAGCAAAAAAACAAGCCCGGGCCTGGCCGAAGAAGCACAGGCCTAGGCCAAGTGTCACAAGCATCAGGCCTAGTAGGAATCAATCCCCGATGCAGCAGCAGCAGCAACAGCTCTAACAACAACAGCAACAGTTGCTGCTCCTCTCGGCTGCGCTACACATGTGCTTCAACAGGTGTCACATCTGCAATTTGGCAACTTTCCAGGGAGCAATTCCGGGCTGCTTCGCCGTCTTGTCCCAGGATGTGGCGGTGGTGGTTGTTGGTTGACCGTGTCGACGATGAGCGCGTTGCGCTCCGTTTCCTGTCGCCCCATCATCGATCTTTGATCCGACAAGGATTGTCTGCGCGCTTCTTCCACTTCGTGTTCGTACAGTGTCACAGAAATGTGGTGGTGGTAGCCTTCGCTATGAGCCTTCATTCGGTGCTGCAAGTGTTGCTGTGCATGCGTTTTTTCCCCTCCAGACAAAACGTCAACGGATGGGGGCAGGCAAGCCAGGATTCTGTCATTCAGCAAATTTCGATGGTAAATTGGTACTGGTATAGTTGCGAACTTGGGGTAAACCACGCCGTGAGCGAGTGGGCAGTGGTCAGTGATTGCCGAAATGACCTGGCAAATCGCGGATCCGAAGATGGTGAAGGAGTTCAGTTTTATTCGGGAAACGACCCTAGTGCATCATCGAGGATGGTCAAGAAGTTCAGTTCCGTATGGAAATGATGAGGGAGCTTGATAACCTCATGGGGATGATGAGGAGTTCGATCCTCCCACGGAAGATGGAAAAAAAGAAGTTCAACTGCCCCCTTACAGAGGTCGAAAAGTTGAGAAGGTTCGATCCCCTGAAAACGAGGAGACCAAGAAGACGAGTGGTTCGATTGCGTCTCGCAAACAGAGAAAATGATCGATCCCATTCCCTCATGGAGTTCGACAAGGGGACGACAAGAGTTCGATTTCCTCACAGAGGTCAGTTCGGAGGAGACAACAAGTTCGACTCCCATGACTGAAATCAGAGAAATCGAGCTGAGGAGGCCGATTCTGCCACGGCGGTCGAGAAAACGAGCAGTTCGATTCCGTCCCAGAAATCAAGGACAGTTCGGTACCCTCACAAGGATAAAGCGGATCAAGGGTTGCCTCCCAGCAGCCCATGCCACTGGCCTCAACCACTTGATCATCGTTCGTAAATACGAGCTTTTTTGAGGTCGAACCGTCTGTCTTCTGTTACCGTTCAACCTCACCGGAACCTCGTCCTTCATTCTCCTTGCCCTTTCCGCTCCCTTTTCGACCTCTCTCCTTCCGGCCAGGACCACAGGGCATTTTCTCCCCTGCCCGAAATTTGACCCTAAAGTTTGACATTGCGCCTCATTTCCCTCATCTCTCAATAAGTGTTGTAGAAATTTTAGAGATACAAACAGTGAGAGAATATCGCTGGCTAGGAGCCACTGGAAAAGGACGGGGGCCTGAAATCGCGTCTGTGCGTTAACATATGCAGTTCGTTTGGCGTTGCTGGCGGCCCACCAGCGTGGAGAAGAGAAACACAGTCGAATTTTGATAATTTACTGAAAAGTTGTCGCCTCTTTGCTAAATGGACCTATGCGTTCTTTTTTGCACCGGTTTTTTTGTATTTCAGCTTATTTCTTCGGCATACCTCACAGTTCGGGCCAACGATGGCGTCTATGGAATTGCCTGAAACGCAACCAAAACCACAAAAAAAGTTTGATTTGAAGAAATTCCTGATTGATCTGGCATCCGGTGGTACTGCTGCGGCCGTCTCCAAAACTGCTGTAGCACCAATCGAACGTGTCAAATTACTCCTCCAGGTAGAATTTTTTGGCGATTTTTTGATTCTTTCCCTATGAATGGCGCGATTTGTAGGGTTTTTTTTTCCGCATATGATGTGAATTTTACATTTTTTGGCTTTTTACGTATTCTTTATTGCATCACTGCTACCCGCTGGTTAGGCTGACACAACCTAAGCTTAGTACTGAAACTCGGCTCGGCAAATATTCGATACACTGGCAACTACTGAAACTCGGCTCAGCCGCGCAATGCACACTTATTTTTGGGTTTGAATGCGAGCTGTGAAATCACACAAGTACCAAGATTTTTGTCTGGGTAAGATTTCGGGTGTTACGCACACAAGTTTACTAGCTTTAATTTGGTATCTATCTTCTTGCCAATCCTAGTAAGCCTATTTAATCCTTTTCCCCACGATCCCAGCCCCCTGTTTCCAGTTCCTACCTTCAAGCAAGATCTCAGTTCCTTTCCAGTCACTACCTTTTCCCTTCCCTTCTCTTCTGCGGCCTCCTGAGACTCAAACAACACCCCCTGCGCCACCATCCGGAGGGGCATCGCGATCGTCGTCTCGCCTCATAGCGCAGCCGAGCCAGGCCGAGTTTCAGCAATCGCACCAAATCGAGTTTTAGTAGTTTCTCTATTTCGGGCTTTCCTCATCCATATAGCCGTTCGTTCAGAACCTGCCACCGCATTGGCTTATCTTTCCTGTTCTTACAGTGTTACACGAATGCCGATCAATGACATAGGCGGAACCAGGCGGGGCGGGGGAGGTGGAAGGGTGTTTCGCTTTAGGCACAGGCACCAGTGCTGCAAAAGCCCGGGTCTCAAGCTGAAACTAAAGTAACTCTAAGTAGCAGTGTTACAACACCATTCCTAGTTTTTGCATAGTTCCAGAGTGGGAGCGGACTCTCCTCCCCGCCTCCGTTCCCCCTCCCGCCCAGGAACCCGTCCTGGATTCGCCCGTGGTCAGTAATCCACTTCATCTATCTGTTGTTTTCCATTCTTGCCACATGACCAGTCCGATACCTCTTTCTTCCATTCGTTGCTGTGTGCTGTCGGCAGTACCGCTTCTTTATCAGGGGGTTTCTTTTTGTTTCAGGTGCAACATGCGTCAAAAACAATTGCAGCTGATAAGCGCTACAAGGGCATCATCGATGTATTCAAACGTGTACCGAAAGAGCAAGGCTTTGCATCGTTCTGGCGTGGTAATCTGGCCAACGTGATACGGTATTTCCCAACCCAAGCGCTTAATTTTGCGTTCAAAGATACTTACAAAAAGATTTTCGTGGCCGGAATCGATAAGGATAAAGTAAGCTTGCTTCTCTCAAAAACATTTCACGGGGCATAAATTCCAAAATGGGGAACGGGAAGAAAAAAGGGTTACGGACGATTTGATGCGAACGTGCGCGGGGCAGGGAGGGGAGGGAGGGGG